CCACTGCTATATCATCCAGTTAGACTCATGTTAAATTACAATGCATCACATTAAAAAGCAGAAAAAGGAAATGTTAAGAATACTGTTAATGAAAAATGGGAAAAGAAAATCCTAGAACATGAGTGAAAAGCTATTCATATACAGAAACTGCTCACATCATCCAGGATGTGGAGTTAGCTCTTTACAGAATGGGCACTATGCACATGAATTTTGTGCAGAGGTCCCCCCCCCCCTTTGAAGTAACTATGTTTGTTATCTGGAGGACAGGGAAAAGAACACTTTCTAGCTGGTGCTGAGGAGTATGTGGAGGTATCTGGAGGCTTTTAAGCTCTTATTGGAGGGGAAAAAAAATACTGTTTTCTTTCCCTCTAATAAGAGGGAAAAAAAGTATTAAGATTTTTATGTAGGAAAATCCACAAATATCCTCTGATTTAAAATATGGATGAAGGGGCTGGGGAGATGGCTCAGTTGAATAAGGGCTTCCCTGGCAAGCGCAAGGGTCTGAGTTCAATCCCCAGCCCTGAAGCAAAAAAAGTAAAATATGGATAAAGCAAAAACAAACGCTGGCCCTCTTCCCTTTGCTCCCCTCCCTTCTCAGGGCAGATGGCCTTGGGGAGCTGTCCATCAGCTGTGGTGGTGCAGCAGGCGGGTGGGGTCAGCCCACCAAGGCGTGAGGGAGGGCGTGGGAACCAGGGAGCCTCAGCCTGGCACACAGCACAGCACCGCAGCCAAGTCCAGGGCCATCCTGCCACCCAGCCAGCCCTTCTCATTCAAATGTGGAGTCCAAACAATAGCTTTCTGGGTTCTGCAAGCAGAATTGTAGCAGGAAAACATAGCATCCTTCTGATGCGGGGCCTCCCTTGGGAAATCAACTGGTGCCAAGAAAGTTGCATAATTAGCAAATGGCTTTCCCTGCTTTCAGTGACATCAGTCTGTAAGGTCAGGCCTGAGGCTGCGGATTATGGTCCTCCAGTGCCTGCGCTGTCAGGGGAAACACAGAACCATCTGTTTTTGAGACATTTCCATCTGTACAGCAAATGACAAGCTGGGGTTAATACCTCAGTTTAATTGGGGGACACCAACTGTGGCAGGCAGCCATGTACTTGAGGGCAGTCCAGCTCATGGAAGCCAAAGGTTGAATTTCAACTTAAAAGTGACAGGTTTTGAAAACATATTTGAGGTTTTCGAATCTTAGAATAAACATATATGCATTTTGAATTCAGGTGTCACTAGACTGGTCTTCTTCCTTTTTAAAAAAAATTAATTTTACTGGAAAGAAATAGCAATGAGACAGTTTCAAACCAGGTTAGTAGGACAGTTACAATAATTAATATATTGTAGACTGGTCTCTTATTAGCCATAGTCTTAATGGAAAATACCAGGCCCCTGAAGTCCCTGAAAGGCCAAGGAACATTTGGAGAGGTCATTTCCCTTTGTATAATACTTTTATCTTTTGTTTTTTCTACATTTTGATAACTATAGAGTTTCCAGGACTCATTCTGGATAGTCCCAAGAGATGAAAATATAATTAAAAGGGTTCCACATAAAACACAAGTTATGTAGACCATCACACTTTAATTGCTCTCAGAACCCGACTCTAACATAATAGGCATCAGATTCCCTCTGCAGCAAAGCACAGCGGTCTTGTGTTAGGCCTTACAGATCTCTCTGATACTTCTGTATAGTGCTGTCACTGCACCAAGATGCTGCACTGTGATAAATGAATCAGATGATGCAATTAGGAAGCAGATTTTTCAGGTTACCCTGCAATCACTCAGCCTGCCTGGCTCTCCGCACTGCAGGCCCTGGGTGCTGGAGGTGTAGAGCCCACACCAACTGGGGCTTCCAGTCATTCTCTGCACTGTAATTACCTCCTTGAAACAAGAGGCACAAAGAGGTCACATCCTGTCAATGCCACAATAAATTAAATTAAATAACACTCTCTAGAATCCCCCTTAACCATAATAAATGCTCCAAATCTCAACACACATGCTCCTGATAAATGCTTTGGAAAAATGAACTGACTTCAAAACTGCTTGATGGATGAGAGGTTATGGAAGCTGAAGACTGGCATTTTTAGTTTCGACATGATGTCCAAAGAGAGAGCGTGTTTTCTCTCTCTCCTTTTTTTTTTTTTTTTTTTTTTTTTTTTTTTGTAACAGGCATTGAACTTGGGACCTTGTGCATGCCAGGCAGGTGCTGATGCTGCTGAGCTCTCTCTCTAGCCCTGCTTTCTCTTTTTCATAAGCTGTGCTCGGTTTGAAGCGCTGCTCAGGTCCAAGATCCTCAGGTAAAGAGGAGGTGGAGAAGTCCAGAGAAAAACCACAAGGGTTAAGGAAAGGTAGCAGAAAAGTCAACTGGACTGAAGTTTCCCATTGAGAAAAGATTTAAAGAAAATCTACTAAGTATACCCTGGAAGAAAATCACCTAGTTACTGTATTTTACCACTGAATGATAGAAAAAAAGTAAATCATACCATGAACATTTAAGTTTTTAAATAAAGAAATTTACCAGAGGAAATTTATTGCCCTAAATAATCTTAGAAAGGGCTGAAAGCTTACAAAGCTTTTATTTTGAATTATGTTGTAATAATTTTTAAATAAGGTACATTCTTACTTCTTGCCTCAATATGCAACTCAACAATGGTGATGTCAATCAGTAAATATCTATAAAATAATATCCCCTTTAGGCTCTCTCAGTCCTAACATATACCTATCTTGATTTCACTTTTCCTATAAAACAGGGTCCAGGGTCACCTGGGTCCAGTTGGGGCCACCAGCAGGTACCCAGCACCTGCTGCTCCTGACAGTGGCTCTCCACCCCTGCCAGGGAGGCCCGGACAAAGACAGAGGGGCTATGATGTGCAAAGTCAGCAGGCCCACATGGCAAGAAACCAGTGGAGTGGCGCATGGCTCCCCTATGGTTCCATGTGCACCTTTCACTTAAAAGAAACAGGAGGCTCTAGCAGAATCAGCAAACAGGTGGAGATGGCTGTGTGAGCCTGGGGTGGGGTGGCCCAGCCAGCCAGTGCTTTCCCCAGCCTTGACCAGTGGCAGGTGGACACCCCTTTCTAGGGTCCTTGTCCCTGAGATCAGGCTGGGCAGCATTGCTCCTGACCTCACTTCTTCCATCTCTGTCATGGGAAGACTTTTCTGTGCCAGGTGCCCAAGGGTGACTAAAGCAAACAGGAAGACATGGTGGAATCCACTGAGGAACCCGGAAGAAAAATGCCGGGTGCCAAACCACTGCAGCACCTGCACCATGGTGTGTCTAGCTATGCTGTTTCTTCTGACTCTAACTAAACTAGTATTTTAATGGTGAATAATGCGACCACACGTTGCCTGCACCAGGTTCACTTTGGGCTTTCTCCTGTAACACAGGTTACGCTAGAGCCCACAGGCTGGCTGAGAGCTACGCTGGCAGCTGTGCACAGATACCTGAGCAAGATGGCTGCTGTCCAGGACCCTTTTCTCCATACCTCCACCGAGAAGCTGCGCTAAACATCGGCAGGCACATAAATCCTTATGCCTATGGGCTACCATTGGGGACACATTCCCTATAAGTTTCCACTCTGTAAGGCAGGGGCAGCTGGAGCCCCTGCCTGAGTTACCAAGTACAGCTACTTCACTGCTAAGGCAATGCAGGGCAATGTGGGCCAGTCCCAGTGTGGCCTTGAAGTCAGGGGTTTCCCAGGCCACTTGGACATGTCTTCATGCATACAGCGTTTGGTTCATTACTGGCACTCTAAGATTAATTTTGTTTCACTTTTTAGGGGGAAATAGAGAGACAAGGCCTTGCTATGTTGTGCACCTTGAATTCCTGGGCTCTGGTGATCCTCCTGCTTCAGCTTTGGCCAGTGGCAGGTGGACAAGTGGTAGTTGGGATTACAGGCATGGTCACCACTACACTTGGCTTTTTGTAAAACCTATTTTCAGGCTTATTTTATTTATTCTGGTTCTGAGATGAAATCTCACTAGGTCTTTGGGGGAACAGATCCACTTTGATCACCCAGTGTGACATGTAATTTAAAAATATTTTTCCCTGGGTGCATTGGTATTTTGCCCTTTTCTACAAAAAAAAAAAAAATGAGTGCTAACTCCACATAGCTGCCTTCCATAGTAAGGTGACACAATCAGCCATGCCCTGATACTACTGGAGAGCCCAAGGGGAGATGGAGGGGGTCAAGGGGAGTCACTATGAGGGGAAGTTGCAAGGCTGACAGCCTTACTCAAAATAGAAATCTTAGATGCTTTTGTTGCTTGAAACATTTTTCTGGGGTTTTGTTTCTCTTGAATATTTTGGTTTTTTCTCTAATTAAAAGCTGAGTTTAGAGCCAGGAATACAGCTCAGCGGTACAAGTCCCTGCCTGGCAAGCTCAAGAAAATGAGTTCAATTCCCGGTATCACAAAAAAAAAAAAAAAAGAAAAAAGAAAAGAAAAAAAGAAAGCTGGGTTTATTTTATGCATGTTTTCTGTTACCTAATTGGTGCTCTCTCTCATCTGTAAAATCTTCAGTCTTAAAAACATTCCTTATTTTTTAAAACTTTGGCCCCTGGCTTCTCTCAATGTTAGGGGCTACACTCCAGGCTTGACAAAGACACAGGGCCAGGAGAGAGCAGCACTCAGTCCCCTCTTCCACACTGAAGCTGTCAGTGGTGAGAAGCTTGTTCCAAGTAACTGATGCGCCACCTTAAAGTGGTCGTGGATAACCCACCAGAAAGCATCACTCTGGGGAGCTGACCCCCTCAAAGGCTGCTGTCCAGATGTATGACACAAGGCGCAAAAAGCAGTCAAATCTCAATCCTCGCCCCACATGTGCCAAATATGTAGAAAACCACTAGGTTAGATATTTTCAAAATAAAATGCAAACATGATTATTTTTAAGGTCCCAAATGCTCCTGTGTCTGTCCCTGCACACCCCTTATTTTTTCCTTAACTGAAAGAAATGATTCCCAGTATGTCTTTTCAGGCCTTTTCTCTCCACCAAAGCCCAGCACGTACCAGCAATGAGTCTTTTATAAAGCATTCGGTCCTTCTCAGACAGTTTCTCTCACTGGAGATAAGCTTTGCAAAAAGATGCAGCATTGCTTTTTCAAGGCTGGGAAGATGTCGGAGCCAGAGGCTGACTACAGTTGGTGTGGGGAGAGAAATCTTCTTCCTTTTGGCCAGAAACAAGCAAAATATTAGGTAGAAATGGACTGGGAAAGAAGATGATGAACAACATTCAAAATACAATTAGTAACCCAACTTGTGAGAGTATTCCCCATAGTCCTAACAGCTGTTAATATTTATTATATCTGTGATTATTTATCACAAATTACTTGCAAAGAAATGTAACTATGCTTTCATTTCAGGTCACTGAAGAATGCTCAGGAAAAATGTGCTTTTGGAAAGGTTAAGCAAATATATGTTAAAGAATGATAAAAAGTAAGTTTAAAAAGGGCCTTGGGATGTCCAAGTATATGTAATCCCCAATTAAGAAAGGATTGCTGTTGATAGTTTAAAGTGTGGAATCTCAGGACCATGACTATCTGTGTGACCTTGGGAAAGTTAACCTTTAAACCTCAGTTTACTCATCTGTATAATAGGCCTGACTCCTTAGTGTTGGAAGGATATAATACAGTTACACATGCAGTCATTAATATAGAGCTCAACATCATGAATATTCAAACCTCTGTTAATAAATCTATTGCTTGAAAGGTAACAAATACTTTTCTTAACAATTTCACACGTGGTGGTTATGGTCTAGTTAATGTACAGTGGACCTTAAGTACAATACTCAATAGACACAACCATTCTGTGCAGCTTTGTTTGAGGGGACTCCTGTGTCAAGATGTGGGGCTCTACCTCCCCTCCTGGGAAGGGACATGAAGGGGTTTTGCATTCCATGATCACAGAGCTGGCCTCCAGAGACTCCTGCCCTTTCTGCCTTATCTCTCACAGCAGGTGCTTTGAACAGCCCCCACCAGATGCTTACTGCTGTTACTAAGGAAGCTTGAGGCAAGAAGTCTCCCCACCACCTAGAGACCCTTCAAAGCCTGTTGCTCACCATGAATCCTGGGCTGCTTCTCTGCAGCACTGGCATGAAGCCAAAAAATGGGGTTGGGGTAGGAGCAGGGGTGATACCCAAGGGCTTTTCCCTTTTCCTCCCACAGGCCTTGTTCTGGATTTACTGGAGTCACAGAAGAAATGAAAGGTGTATGTGTTGGGGGACGGGTGGAGGAACTGTAGAATGCAGAGGGAAGGAGGGAAGGACGGGGCCCCTTCCCTGAC